GGGCACCCCAGGACCTCCATACAGACTGCCAAGGTTTGCACCCCAGGGAGGTTACTTCAGTGCTGCTAACAGCGGTTTGACCTCAACCCTGGAGGTACACTCCATTGTCTGTCAAGACAGACGAATGCCAACAAATCATGAAACCAAGTGAGCAGTGCTCTCTCAACTACCATCTCCCCTGTGCTTCCCATGGTGATTGACCCCATGCTTCTATTAAGCTTTTTCCCATGGGATGGGAGGGGATTTCTGTCAAAATGGGGAGAGGGATGGTATAAAACTTTCCTCTCCCTGCAATCCCCTGACCAGGGAACATCTGAGAATAGCGAAAAAGAGGCTGGACTACAGAAGGAAATTGATCTTCATCTTGAGTTTCCATCATTCTCCCCTGCTGCTTGGCTAATCAATGGGAGGGTATGCTATGGGTCATGAACAGTGAGCCACTAATGGTTCAGAAGCACAGATTGCAGACTTCTGAACAAGAAATAGAAAAAATGCATGTTTCTTGGAGTCTATGCATAATGACTGGAGAATGTAGAAAATTCAGTCGATATATGCATGTTAAAGGTAAAGGGACCCCTGACCATTAGGTCCAGTCGTGACCGACTCTGGGGTAGCAGTGCTCATCTCACTTTACTGGCTGAGGGAGCCGGCATAGTGCTTCCGGGTCATGTGGCCAGCATGACTAAGCAGCACACAGAAATGCTGTTTACCTTCCCACCGGAGTGGTACTTATTTATCTACTTGCACTTCATGCTTTCGAACTGCTAGGTTGGCAGGAGCCGGGACCGAGCAACGGGAGCTCACCCCGTCGCGGGGATTTGAACCACTGACCTTCTGATCGGCAAGCCCTGGGCTCTGTGGTTTAACCCACAGCACCACCCGTGTTACACAACATTTATTGTGTATTACACATAATGGTTGGGAAATTACATAATGGTTGGAGAATGTACATAATTCAGCCCAGATATGCATATTCCATAAAGCCTGTTGGGGATTATACATAGTGGCCAAAGAATGTACAAAATTCAGCCAGTATATGGACTTTCCCCAAGGCCAGTTGGAGATTATATATATTGACTGGGGAATGTACACAATTCATGGCAATCGTATGTTCACATTTTCCTTGAGGCCTGATAAATGTGCATAATGGCTGGTTGTTAGGCACATTAACTGCTAAACTTATATCCCCTTAACACAGATAACTTAATTGTGCAAGTATAGAGATAAATTTGATGTAACAGCTTGAGTGCTATTAACAAAGCATTTTGACTTTGTTCTCCTGAGTTTATAATGCCATCAGAGCTGTGAGATACAATTGCAACGTTTTGTTTTTTTTAAAAAAAGTTCAATTGGCCGCATCATTCTCTTTGTTATTATTCTGATTGTTGTTATTATTATTCATGTCCCATTAGCTTCTTCACCTTGAACTAATATGACATTTCACTGCTATGGGAAATCAATGGGGCAAAAATTTCTCATGCTTCCACAAACAATTACTGTTGATTTAAGTACAAAGACTAAATACCACATAGACAATATAGATAAAGAGATTAGAAAGGGTAAGGAGAAGCCATCCATTATTGGGCAAGTTATTTTTAAAATGTGTGTCTTGTGCAGAAAAGAAAAGAAAAAGTTTCATTATTGAACGACCGTAACTTGACAGAAAGTTGCTTTCAACATAATTCGGTAAGGCCTTGCTCCTGGTAATGGTTGCAAACTTCAGATTTAATTAGAGAGTAATTGCTCTTTTAAATTATCCCAGTTTGCTGCCTCTGCACATTCTTCCCAATCTCTTTTTGAATTTATTTGTACAGAAACAATTATTTTCAATATAGATCTTAAGTCATTTACTCCCCTTCAATGTATGATGATTTACAAAATTGTATGATTTTACACTGCTTGTCCAGAGTGTCTGTGACTAATTTGCAGCAGACACTTCAGCAGCTCTTGAATGATCATCGGGTTGGCCATGCTTTAGTTCCATTGAAATCAATGGTAATGAAGTTAGTTGTGACAAATTGTCCCCTTGATTTCAACAGGTGTAGAGTATGGATAAGAGGAGACTGAGAGGAGATATGATAGCCATCTTCAAAGTTGGGTGACCATTTGCCTTGGATTCTTTAGTTGAGATTCCCACATTGCAAGAGATTGGACTAGATGACCCTCCAGGGTACCTTCCAATTCTATTATTGTATGACCAAGTCTGAAACCAAGCTACTGCATTCTGCACAACATTCTGCCTCAGCCTCCCTCAACCTGGTGCTCTCCCACCAGCTGCTCATTGGGCAGGCAGGCTGGGGCTGATGTGGATTGTAGTCCAAAACATCTGGAAAGCACTAGGTTGGGGAAGGCTGCTCAACACCAAATAGACCACCAAACATGTAATACGCAAATTAGGAGCAGATGTATCTATCAATTTTGCTTTCTCTCCGTTTTCCAGTCTTAAGTTCAGTTCTCCATATTTCAACAAGAAAATGTCCACATGAAAATTTATCAGCGTTTTAGTGTGACATTTCTCCTAATATACAGATTTTTTTTTGGTATGCAGTTTTCTCTAATGAACACATTTTTACAAAGCACTTTAATGCATTTTTGCATGCTATTGGCACTGATATATGCATTTTAATGCACACTTCAATGACTCGTCATCTTTGGCCGTTGTCTGGGCTCACTTGAGCTGGAGCTGATGGGAGTTGGAATCCAACAACATATGGAGAGCCACAGATTTCCTATCAGGGCAGATTTAGAGCTGTGTGAGCAGTGTGTTAGAATTCCTGCTCCATGATTGCAGTCATGGGATTGTTGTCTTTCACATGACGGTGTATGTTTTGACTCCACAGAGTGGGAAGTAACAGAGACAGGATGTTTGTGATACTGTGTTCCGTGAAGTGGGACTATTGTCCTTTGTTCTTTCTTTTTGCTGTCTGATGCTAGAGAGAGAGGGAGCCATGTTGCAGTGTTCTGTGTGTGTTTATATGTAAATAAAGTAGATTAGCCAAAATGCTGAGTTGCTGAGGTCTGTTACGCAAGCTGCGAAGACTCTGCGGATCCCTAAGTGTGCCGATGTCTGTTGGCATCGGTCGCTGTGATGTTTGGGAAGAAGAAAGCTTTTGAAGCTCCCGAACGACTGACCAGGAGGGATGGAACATGCCAGTCAGGCATGTGTCTCTGCCAGGGTCCTACTCGAGAGTAGGACGAGCTCCTGACATAGTGCACAGGGACTGGGTGTTGAGCTGAGGGGGCGCCATCACAAAGCCCGGTAAGTGAGTGAGTTGCTAGGTTTTGGGAAGGAGGCGTGAGGCTCTAATAGGGTCCTAGAGTCCTCCACCCTCCTTTCCAAAGCCTAGTTAGCACTTCCCCAGATTTGGGAAGAAGGAGGGAAGGCTCTATGATCCTGCCAGAGCCCTTGTGCCCCCAGGCACCTCCTTACCCACCTTTGGGACGGCAGCCTGAAGACTGGTGGGGGAGGTGCTAAATTTTGGCCTCACACAAGGCACCATAAAACCCAAGTCTGTCACTGTTCCTATCCTTGTCTTAGATCAGGCATCCCCAACCTGTGGCCCTCCAGATGTTTTGGCCTACAACTCCCATGATCCCTAGCTAACAGGGCCAGTGGTCAGGGATGATGGGAATTGTAGTCCAAAACATCTGGAGGGCTGAAGGTTGGGGATGCCTGCCTTAGATGCACAGGGCAGTCTTGTGTGTGCAAACAGGCTCACCCCTTGGTTGTGTGTGATAACTCTATCTCTTCCACAGCTATGTGGTTGGGCACTCACTATGGAAGAGAAAAGAATGAGCTGGATAAAGAGTTTCAGAGCTGTGCCCTAAGCACCGGCTGCTCATGAAAGGCAGGAGCTTTGTGATCTCTGGCTCAAATTAACCCCCAGATAGTAAGGCCCACTCTTTCTTCTGCAAAGTAATATTTCCAAATTGCTTTAAAGCCTGGCCGCACCTAGGATTAAGGGAGCAGGGCCAGATCTGTCAGTTTGTTTGTGGCTTGCTTTGGAACGCTGCTATTTCTTGAAGGGGAAAATACTTTGTGGCTTTTATAGCCCCCAGAGAAGCAGGCGAGATTCTGTCACCTTTTGATTTATAGAGTGCCTTTTGACTAAGTAATCAAAAAGGGCAAGAGATGTGTATCATGGGATAACAAGATTTATGAAACATGAAATCCACCCGCCCCCTTTTTTTGTTGATCGTATCAGACTGAGCATTCAGGTGAGGAGGGAGACAGAAGAGCTGGAGGTGGGAATTAAAAGCCGGAACATGATTTACAACTTATCGGGGCTGAATACAGATGTATGTGTGCACAACTCTTTCGCTCTTAATATTGGAGACCTATCTGAGAGCCTGCTGGGAATGTCAGTAATTACCAGCTGGGAGTCTGACATACTGCAGATCTGCAATTACATGCACTGGAGACCAATAGGCGGTTCAAAACAATTAAATATTAAAGGGAAATGAAGGACAGCAAAGAAGGAGGCTGCAGGCTATTTTCATAGACCCTGCAGCTTTAATAAAGTAGATATTTAAATTGGGAAGACGTCCCCAGGGTAGCAAGGGTGCTTTTCTGTCCCCTGGCTCTGTAAAAGTTTTGGGGAAAGCATTCGTCTTCAGAAATGCAACTTGACATATTTATTTCGAGCTGTTGACACCGTGGATTTCCAATCCTCCACCCCTGCATTTGAAAGTGAACCACTGGGTGATTGTGTTAGAATGTCTGTGTGCCTTACTTTACAGAGGCCAGTTCTCTGTTTGAAGGTGCCCTCTGTTTGAGTAGGGCATGCTAAAGTACATTTCATGGAGATTAGCTCAGTGATTTAAAAAGATAATAATTAAAAAAATAGGGGTAAAGTAGCCCAGTCCCTCCAGCTCAATGAGATCTCATTGTGTAAGTGAAGAATCCCAGTGCAGTTGTAACGTTGGAAGAGAACAGGAGTAAATTGCCAACTGAAACAAGAATGAGGTAGTCGAAATATATATAAAAAATATAAAAAATTTGTCCAGTAGCACCTTAGAGACCAACTAAGTTTGTTCTTGGTATAAGTTTTCGTGTGCAGATCTGAAGAAGTGTGCATGCACACGAAAGCTCATCCCAAGAACAAACTTAGTTGGTCTCTAAGGTGCTACTGGACATTTTTTTTAAAAAAATTATATATATTTCGACTGTGTCAGACCAACACGGCTACCTACCTGAATCAAGAATGAGGTAATTTTTGATCACTGAAAAAGCCAGTCTGCCAGTCAGAAAGATCATTGATGAAGAGAAATGAGAGAGTCCTGGGCAGGCTTATTTAGGGGTAAATCTTTGGGCTTATTTTACACTTCCTCCATACGTTCCAGGCATGACCTGCACTTTAAAGCTCCGTGTCCAAACATCCTTTTCTTTTTCTCCTAACATTATATGTCTCCTTAGTCTGGGATTTATTTATTTATTTATTTATTTTGGCCTTTCCCTCAGTGACTTAAAGCTGTAATTTGTTGGGCACCGGTTGGACTTATGTATATTGGTGGAAATGGCATTGGACAGAATCAATACAGTCAGTGATTTTTTTTCTTAAAAAAACTGTTTACGGGTGCTCTCATTTTGACTCACGAAAACCACCATTTTATAGTTCAAATCAGGAAAAATAAATACAGTAAATGGACAAAAGTACAAAGAACATGCATTACACCAGGAAAGGAGATGAAGCCGCCATCGGAGGTGGTAAGAATGAAACTGACCAGTCACCGTACTAGATTCCAACTCCTACTTCACACATTAAACGTCGTCTGAGACTCAGGAAATATTGTGACAGGAAATGAGGCCTCCATCAGGGGTAGCAACAGAACTGATGATTCACTGTATTAGAGAAGAAACTATTCCTTTTTAAAAAATAAATTAAAAAAATTAGGTTCTTCTCTTGTTAGATTCACAAAATGTTTAGGGATATGTGTACATCTGCGAATCCTGAGAAAAAAGCACTGAATATAGTAGAGCCCCCCCCCCAAGGGGCCTAAGGGAGAATGATTGCCCATGGCATGCCCTAAGCTTATGTTAGGGGCCCTGCATAGCTGGAATATTTCACCCTGGTCACCCGTAAGACCAAGCTTGCTTGGCTTGCACCATGCTGGGGCACAATGCTGGGTGATTCCCATGGAGGGAGTTGTGGTATTTCCAACCCTAACAAAGGACCCTTCCATCAGCAAGGGCTGGTGAAAAGTAGAATGGGATCCTGGCCCTACTGCTATGTCAATCCCACTTCCTACTGTGGTCAATAAAGATTTTACCCAACCCTGACTCCTGTCTAGTTATTTCACCACTGTCACAGGGACCCAATTTCTGCCTGCCAGGACTGTTACAATATGAGATCATCGCAGCTGCAGACAGCCAGCTTGTTGACATCACATGGTGGGGCTGACTGTGGGAAACAATGTTACAGTCAGTTCACAGGGCAGTTCACCGGAATTTGCTCAGTGTGTAATATGAGACCTTCCTCTTGCGTATGTACAGGAAGTCTCTCTCACTTGTTTGCTGAAGTTTGAAGTGATCGGACATGTTTTCTGTAGTGCTGCAAAGTCAGGAATAAACGATGTAAATAGACGTTTCTGGCTATCTCCTTTCCCTGCTACGGAAGCAGGAGGGAGTGGGTGTGCACTTCCCACGCTGGGGAGTGTCGCCTATCGAGACCTAGCCTGGATCCTGTGGGGATTGCAGCCAGGGAGGTCACCGGAGACCAAGCCGGGAGCCTGGGCGAGTTGCCAGCTTCTCCCGAGAAAGGCTTGTTTTCCAACAAGGACAACCTCCACAGCCAAAAATATGGTGTGTTTGTGTGTCAGCATAGAGTGCTCAGCTGCCCCTTTCAAATAAGCATAAGGGGCAGAAAAGAGAGGGAGGGAGAAAGGCAAAGGGGGGGGGCAGCATTTCTCAAGCAACATTGTAGTCACAACCAGTCTTAGAACCAGAACACTTGTCTATGATTATAGAAAGGATTTGGTGCAAGTGACGCCAACATTCCAGAGGGGCAAAAAAGCTGCTGTAAATATGTCCTAAGAAAATCAGTTTCAGTTAGCTTAGTATGTAAAGCCAGAAGTTCTAACCAGTTAATTGGTATGATTAATTCATTAATCAGATATAAAAAATATGGTATTTTAATTAGATTTTAATTGTAGCTGGCCCATGAGAGCAGGTTTCAGTGGTTATGATGATGTTCTGCATAATGCAATACTGGTGTCATGTAGATGAAATAACCATTTCTTAATTAAATATCTTCTTGGTTTCATCTGTGTTCAGATCCTCTGAAGTATCTTTTACTCGCTTACGTAATCAGTTAAATGTACAATAGTTAAACAAAAACATTTAATCGGAAGCCTAATCCTTTAAAAAACCAACCCCAAAACATTTAGAGCAGCAGCCTAATTCAGACACAACCTCTCCTTCAGGCATCATTCCTAAAGAAAATAGTTATTGTAATTCCCCCCCTCCCCAAATAACTAATCTTTGCACATTGCATAGAATAACAGTGCAATCCTAACTCAGAATTCCTCCGAATTCAATGGGGCTTACTCCCAGCAGGTAAGTGAGGTCAGGATTGCAGCCTAAGATTGTAGAATTATATATATGTGCAGGTGAGGAGTAAGAGGTGGTTGCTCCCCCACGTAAAAACGCAAAACCATGTTATAAATTGGGAGTGAGGTACCTGTGGCTCTGCAGAGCTGATCCAACTACTACTTCCATAAGCCCTAGCTAACATAGTCGGTGGGAAGGGATGATGAGAGCAGTAATCCAACATTATCAGAAGGGTATTAATAGGCTGATGAAGTGCAATAGATAACATCTCTTACTCAAATGTAAGCCTTGCCTGCTGTCCACACCAAACTCAATATACGCTGTTTACACAAACGAGGCTCTGACGACTGAAGTGCAGCAGGATAATAGCCCCATAATGATGTTGCTTGTAAAGAGCAAATTAGCAGCCCCATAAAGCTTCTTCGAAGTGCTGCATCACATCATGTTTTAAAATGTAAGAGAGGGCTACCTTTTATTTTTCTATGTGGGGGAGAATTCAACACTATCACCTCTCGTTCTCACCTATGCTGCACTGCTATGTAGAGCTCAATCATCCAGTGCTACATAATGTGCAGATCAAGGGTATAAATGTCTCTGCAATGGACTCAAAAGGAAAGCATAAGTGCTCAGCCCCATGGAAAATGAGTCTGCAATTGCACTGCTATATAAATGTGGAGAAATGCAGTTCCTCATTTTGCAGGGAATAGATGCTAGAAGCAATTTCAGGTCCTTCTTTTCTTGTCTCCTTTTAGCATTGTCCTTTCACTGATGTCACAATAATCACAGAGGCTCTGGAAACACTGAAAGGATACATTGCTTTTCTTCACATTGCCTTCACGGCAAAGGAAATTTGTAACAACAGAAAGAGAGACCTTGTAAGGGAATTCCCCGATCCGCTCATTCCATGGCAGTGGAAGTTGCCCAAAGTGATGTGAAGTAGCATCCAACTCCATTTTTTTTTGGTGTGTGTTCTCAAACCTACTGCTCAAGCTGCAAATCTGAGCCATTCACTGCCATCCTAAGGGTACCCAATGGCAACACATCACTAAGGTGACATCTCTTAAATGGTGGCAGGTACAGTTGGAAGGCAAATAGTAAATGAGAGCTTTTAAAAAAATTATTGCTCTTTACAAGTAACTTCGGAACGCGGGTGGCGCTGTGGGTTAAACCACAGAGTCTAGGACTTGCCGATCAGAAGGTCGGCGGTTCAAATTCCCACGACGGGGTGAGCTCCCGTTGCTTGGTCCCTGCTCCTGCCAACCTAGCAGTTCGAAAGCACGTCAAAGTGCAAGTAGATAAACAGGTACCGCTCCGGCGGGAAGGTAAATGGCGTTTCCATGTGCTGCTCTGGTTTGCCAGAAGCGGCTTAGTCATGTTGGCCACATGACCCGGAAGCTGTACGCTGGCTCCCTCGGCCAATAAAGCGAGATGAGCGCCACAACCCCAGAGTCAGTCACGACTAAACCTAATGGTCAGGGGTCCCTTTACCTTTACCTTACAAGTAACATCATTGTGGGGTTATTTGATCCAGGAGCAAGTTCGTGCTTTGTCATGCAGCAGCACTCATCCAAAACATTCTTTAGTCCTGTGCTTTTGGAAGAGAAGCACATAAATGGGAGAAAGTATTGACTTGCTGCATCACACCAAAGGCCCATTCTATTTTAAGAGATGCCAAGCAATATGTCATTAAACCCTAGAATTCACTGCTACAAAATGCGGTGGCAGCAACCAACTGAGATCGGGTGTGTGTGTTAGGGAAATTGATGGCGTATCAGGCAATTGGTAGCTACTAGTTATGATGAGTATACACTACGTCCAGGTTCAGAGGCAGCATTCTTCAGATTATCATTTGCTGAACTCTTTAACAGTTCAGAGTCAGAGATGGTATGCCTCTGAATACCACTTGCCAGAAACTGCAGGAGATGAGAGTGCTGTTGTGCTCAGGTCCTGCCTCTGAGCTTCCCATAGGCATCTGGTTGGCCATTGTAAGAACAGGATGCTGAACTATATAGGCCACTGGTTCTTCTTTGGTTTGTAGCAATGGAATTTTCAGCAGATGCAGCTATGCTTGTTGAAATCCCCTTTTTTCCACAGCTATTGGAGCTCTGTGCCCCTTTTTACCTGGCCACTCTACTAGCATGCAGTTACGATCTGTTCATTGTGATTCCTCTCTCTAGCTCTCCTTAGGCATTCAGGGGGAAACATGTTTGGACTTAAAGTGGGAAGGGGAAGGAGAGGTGCAAGCAAGTTGCATCCCAATGCTCCCATCAAGCTTGCTTCTCTCTCATACCTTATGCATTCAGGACAGAGGTAGACATTTCTCCCTGAAAGGAAATCCTGCACAATCCAAGGGATGATTCAAACTGTTATCGGCAGAACATGGTAAGAAACTCCCTGAGGAACTTTGCACTGAACACACGGAAGTTGGGAGAGAAGGGATGTTGCATGCATGGGGATATTGGAAGTGTGGGGAGTGTGCACACCCAGTACCCTCTTTGCCAAGAGTGGTGAACCTTTGGCCCTCCAGATGTTGCTGAACTATAGCTCCTAGCAGCCCCAGCTGGAATAGCCAGTGGCCGAGGATGAT